GCTAGTCTTGATATGCTAGTCTGGTAGATATGTAGGACTACCTATGAAATTATCTATTTATCTATATATAATATTATCTATTATATGTCGACATATTGTATCGGTGGGTTGAGGTAGTACTGCTTTGTGTTGTAGCCAACAAACCTTAGAGTATGCCAGATATGAGTTGAGGGCCAGGGAGGGCATACCGGATTCATATTAAGGAGTCATGACCATTCTAGATACAAGATAAGGGGTGGACAGGGCATGCCATACTTGTACTTAGGGCTTAGCGGTATTCAGTCTATTGACTGATCAGGCCGGGCAGCAAGCCAAACATAAGTTGTGTGCTCGCGGGGTAAGCCAAACTTATGTTGTGGGCTCATCGGTAATCCAGTCTATTAAACTATGGACCCATTACATGTTGTTATTATATTTTTACTATTTTCTATGTATTGGTATTTTGGAGGAACTCACTAAGCTTTGGGCTTACAGTTTCAGATTATGTTTCAGGTACTTTAGAGGATCGCAAGTAAGAAAAGGTGTGATCGTGAACCTCCTCATGTTTTGTTTCATGATTTTGGGATTAATTTGATATTAAACTCGTTTTGAAAACTGTTTGTAAACAATTATGGTTTTGACTTTAATTTAAAAGTTTAAATTTTCCAAGAGGTTTATGGATGTTACATTACCCAACAAACAATACTCGCATTCATCGTCTGATTTTAAGTCAAATGATCCAACGCTCCATCCTTTAGGAGTTGGGCGATGCGTTTCTTGTTAATGTGCCTAAGACAAAAACTCCATAAACATGAGTTGTCTAAACTATCAGAATAATCAATGTATAAACATTATTGTCAATTTCATTCACACAAACAATAGTTTCATACACTCCATCACAAGGATAATCTTTTAAAGTAAATGCACCATTACGATAAACATTAATTGTACCATCATTATTATCAAAATCATAACGAAATCCTTGTCTAAATATAGTATGAAAAGAAATTATGTTTCTGGATATTTCTAGCAAATAGCAAAAATTGTTTAAATCAAACCTAACACTATCAAACACAAGCTCGTAAGTCCCAATTTGAGTAACAGTTGACTTTTGCCTATTCCCCACGATTAGGTTCAACTCCCCATGCTCGAACTCTTCACTTTCTTTTAGTCCATATATGTCAAAATAAATATGGAAACCACATCCTATGTGAAGGACCCAATAATTTGAAATACAAGTGTTATTGATTTGAATAGAGTATGTACCAGAAGAGCCATACCAGAAGAGCCAAACACCTTGCCATTAACTTCTCTTACTTTTAGTAGGTACTTAGGGAAACTTCTTCTCCAATGATCCTTTTGGCCATAATGAAAGAACATTACCTCTTTTGGGTCCAAAACATGAGGAATATCAAAGTTGGGCTTTCCTTTAACCCAATGGACTCTCAAATGTGCGTTTTTTTTCCTTTCCACTTGGGTTGGGAATAGGCCTTTTTATTCTTATCCTTTCCTTGTGGGATGGCCATACTGGGGCAGTCGCAAAACTATTGGAACAAGACTTCTTCATTCATGCTTCAGTTGTTTGCAACAGACTGTGAAGCTCAATCAACATGGTATCAGTATTGTTCAAATGATAGGTCAAAATGATTTGATCGTAACTACTAGGTAAAGAGTTTAGCAGCATAATAATGGAAAGCTCCTTATCAAAGTGCACATTGAGCTTTTTGGATCTCTCCATGTGTCTCTCTATTTTCTGCACATGAGCACACACAGATTCCCTATCTTTTAACTTACACACCATAAGTACCTTAACGACTTCCTAAAGCTTTTGCCTAGCCTTTTTGAGAAACATATTAGAAAGATCAAAGTTCATTTTCATAGGGCCAATAGTCCTTGTAGATCTTTTAGAGCTCAGGTGTCGTGGTTGCAATCATAATGCAAACGACCTTAGTGGCATCGTCAACATGTTGGTTATATTCATCCAATTCTTCAGGAGTAGCATAATCTTTTTCATTTTTTGGGATTTGATTCTCGAGGACATATTCTTTGTTCTCGTATCTCACTATATCTTCAAATTTTTGCAATCAATCCATGTAGTTGGGACTATTGAGCTTGTCATTTGAGAGGATAGACAAGATAGTGAAGTTGTGAGTAGTTGGAGGAGGATGAGGAGGAAGATCATCATTTCTCGACATCTATAATAAGAGACAATATTTTAGTTAGTTGACTTATTTCCTTAATAATTTAACCTAAATTAATATCCAAGGCTAGGATCCATAAATACAATTCGAAATTATGAATATGGATGCTGTAATATAATTGTGAAATTATTTTAGGTAGGAAAAACATTTTACCAATTTCAATCTAATATGAAATTACTAGATCATTTAAGATTCATTTAAGATTCATTTAAGTATTCAATGACATTTTTTTTAATCTCGATTTTGCTCTTCAATTCGTGAGTATGATGCCAAAGATCACAAATAATATTTGAATAACCATGCAAACTCGCATGACATGCTATCATTTCATCTTTGTAGTCTCATATTACTTTGTCAGTTAACCACACACACTCCACTAACAACTTGCAAAGAAATGATGTCTGCGTTCATGGATTAGCATACACCATACAAAGAAGCGGTTATTGAAAAGGATACCCATTTAACAATTATTTTATACGTCATTTCCTTATATCTTTCTTAGAGTGTGGCTTCGTGAATGAGGCCTAATATTGATTCGACAGACCTTTTAATAATACATACATATATATATATATATATATATATATATATATATATATATATATATATATATATATATATAAGGTGTATTTTAATACTTTTGAAAATACAAGGTTTAAATCATATTAATTCAATTAAATTTTAATAATTAAGAACTAAATGAGATTTAAGAATTATCTTTTAATTAATTAATATAAATCTTATTAAGGATAATCATATTATCTAATTTTTAATAATTATCTTATTTAATCTTCAGTTTATATTCAAATTAGAATTCTTAATTATCTAGTTAATATATTCAGATTTTAGTCATTTAAAATCATGGCTGCCCACGTCGTGGTGATCTAGATTATCAGGTTTTTTTTGTTTTTTTTATTTTTTATTTTTATGCTTTCTCGCTTCATCTACTAAGCCTCATTAATGTGAAAATCATGGCTCTAATACCACTAATGAGAATTTAAGGTTAAAAAACAGTTGTATATGTGGAATTTTACTTAACATCTAAGCATACATGCCACCTAAAATGGATCTATGTATTTTTCACATCTAATAGCAACATACTTATGAAAATACAACTAAAACCCTATGAATCAAAATTCATGGTTAGGGATACATACCTTTTAATGATTCCAATCAAGGTAATCAAAACCTTGTTGTCTCATTGGAATACCTTGTGCCAATAGTATGCAAGACTTTAATGTTTCACACCCACAACACAATAAACCTTAAGTTTAAGAGGAGATAGGAGAGAGAGGGAAGACTTTTGAATTTTGACTTTGGAATAGGTCAGCTGAAAATTCATGGGTTAACACCTTATTTATATCTTCTTGAAAACCCTAGAAACCCTAAATATGAACATATAATAATAATATTTCAAATCCAATCTATTAGTTGATTATAAATCGTTTAATAATTCATTATCTTTTTAAACGAGATGTTTATGATTTAACTGTAAGGTAATCAAAAGTGAAATAAGATTTGGCCATTGCAATTTGCACCTCTAACTTTATGTTATGCTAATGAAAAACATAATGGCACGAGACTATCACAAAATACAAATCGTTTAATTGTTTTATAACTTATATTTTCTAATAACATATGATGGCTAAAACTCATTTTAGTTTTTATATTTATTATTAGTGTTGTTAGAATAGTGTTGTTAGAATCTATTACAGAATATTTTGACATCAATTATAAACATCTTTTATTTATAATTTTATCTTTTTCTTTGATTCATTGTATTTACATTATCAATAATTTATATGGTTAATTCTTTTTCCATATGTTGTAATAGTCGATCAATTTATTCTGTAATAAAAAATTAGAACCCCAATATCGACAATTTGAGAAGCAATTTTGAAATATTAATAAACGACATAACATGTTACAAGATCGGTTCCAATATTCGAGGGTTGTAGGATCCAATTTTAATAGGCTTATATATAAAAAATGACCAAAAACCATAGATAAAATTATAAATTTCAACATATTTTAACCATATATTTGTTTTACCGTGCAACGCACGAGAATTAGTGGCGAATTTAAATACAAGTATGGTGGGTCACTTGACACACCATTTTTTTTTTCTTTTCACAAGTTATATATATATATATATATATATATATATATATATATATATATATATATTATAGTTTTTAGTGATCTACTATATAAAAATTAAATGAACCACCTTATTATTTATTGTAAAGAAAAAAAAATATGAATAAGATTTTAAAGCCCATATCCTATAAGTTAATAGCCCAATATTTTTATTTAGGGTATACTCTAACATACATAATCTAATACAAATTAAATTAAAACAAAAAAATTGTGAGTCAACGAAAGCATTACATTCAAAGAAGAGGTTTCTTTCATTCAAGTAGGGATTGGGATTTTGGGGTATCCGAGGTAGCCACACAACACAATAGGTAATATTCATCTTTTTTAAAAAAATAAAATATGAAATTCTTTTTTCATTTAAAACCATTAATTTTTATTTGTTTGGCTTTTCAATTGCATATAATTTAGGTTTACTTTTTTTTAATATATATAGTTTCATACTCTTAATACTGTTAATGTGATATGATTATTTTATTGGTGTCAATTTTTTTGATTATTTGATCGTTGTTTCTTTTAGAAATTAAAATCAAGGATGTCTTTATTTAAGTTTTTTCAAAAGATTGATAAAAAAACAGTTGAAGACGATAATGAGCAACATAAGCATATGAGAGTTGATTTAAGTTCACTACCTGTTGATTCGGCAAAACGACCGGGTATGGAATGCTATCATGTGAATCAAAGAGATGGATTAGAAGGACATACTTGCAAAAAGGTCGTTTTCAACCTCAAAACTACAAGTTTCCACAAAGTACTTTTGGAGGTAAACAACGAAGACTCAATATATCTTGGTTTGATGACAACAAATATTGGTTAGAATATAGTATAAAAGAGAACGCCGCCTTTTTCTTATGTTGTTATCTATTCAAATCCGATGTACCAAACCAAGGTGGATCAGATCATTTTGTGAAATCTGGATTCAAAGCTTGGAATAGGAAATCGGGACTAGATGATCATAAAGCTGGAACTCCACATAATATTGATGTCCAAAGGTGTCAAAATTTAATGAACCAAAGGCAATCCATAACATCTGCTTTTGAGAAACAAATCATTTTACAAGAAAAAGAATATCGTACCCATTTGAATGCTTCAATTGATTGTGTTAGAATCCTATTGCGTCAAGGATTAGCATTTCGTGGTCATGACGAGAAGGACGATTCAGATAATAAAGGTAACTTTCTTGAACTTTTACAATAGTTAGCTGATCGATGTGATGTGGTAGATCGTGTTGTGTTAAAGAATGCTCCAAAAAATACACAATTGAAATGCAGTGATATCCAAAAAGATATCGTGCAGGCATGTTCAGATGCAGTTATGAATGTTATTATGGAAGATCTTGGAAAAGAATGTTTGACAATTCTAGTAGACGAGTCACATGATGTTTCTTGTAAAGAACAATTGGCATTAGTATTGAGGTTTGTAAATAAAAACAGGGAAGTTGTAGAAAGGTTTGTTGTCCTTAGACATGTTAGTGACACTTCAGCTTTAACACTAAAGGCTACCATTTATGATATGCTCTCAAAGTGGAATTTGAGTCATACTAGCACTAGAGGGCAAGGCTATGATGGTGCTAGTAACATGAGTGGTGCATTTAATGGATTGAAGACTTTGATTATGAATGAAACAAAATGTGCATACATTATTCCTTGTTTTTCTCACCAATTACAGTTAGCCCTAGTGTTTGTTGCAAAAAATCACATGAAGGTTAATGATTTCTTTGATGCGGTTTCTCGGCTATTAAACATTATTGGATCTTCTTACAAGCGACGAGATAATTTAAGAAAGAACAAGCAGATAAAGTTATGGAAGCATTGGTTGAAGGTTTACTTTATAATTGTACTAAATTTATTGTTAAAATACTTTGTATTTATGTTGTGCTAATTAATTATTTATATGGTAAATTTTAGGTGAACTTGAGAGTGGTATCGGTTTGAATCAAGAAGTAGGTATCAAACGACCATATGGTACTTGATGGGGTTCTCATTTTTCATCTCTATTGAATATCAAGAACATATATTCTTCCATTTGTGAAGTACTTGAAGACCTTGGTAAAGATAATAGTGATCGTGATCGTAAAGCTGAAGCACTTCGCATCTTAAGGTTATTAAAGTCCTTTGATTTTGTGTTTTGTCTACACTTGATGGTTGATATCTTGAGAGTCACAGATCATTTGAATACAACATTACAAAGAAAAGATCATGATATCGTAAATACCATGAATCAAGTAAGAAGCATTAAAAAATCAATTCAAGAAATTTGAGATTTAGGATGGGAACCACTTTTAGGGAATGTTAATTTATTTTGTGATAAACATGATGTTAGAATTGTGGATATGGAAGATGAATATTATGACGGATTCAGTCGTCGAAGAGGTTCACAAGTTAGTAACATTTGATATTACAAACTTGATTTATTTCTTGTGTTTTCTCATTTTCATATTAAAGATTCTTTTTATTTTCAGGTTAATAACTTGCACCACTATCATGTTGATGTATTTAAGGTGGTGATTGATATGCAACTTCAAGAGCTTAACCATCGCTTTAATGAAGCTAACACAAAATTACTTCCTTGCATAGCTTTTTTGTGCCCATGTAAGTCTCTCAAAGCATTTGATTTGAATAAACTAATGGAAATGGCTACACTTTACCAGGAAGAGTTTCGAACAGAATATGATCTTCAAATTCTTGAAGTTCAACTTAAAAATTAAATTAAGGATGTATGAGAAGATGAAAGATTTAATCAATTGAAGAACATTGGAGAACTTGCCAAAAAGATGGTCGAAGTACAGAAGCATATAATATACCGTAAGGTTTATATTCTCTTGAAACGTGCATTGATCTTACCCATTGCAACAGCGAGTGTTGAACACTCATTTTCAGCAATGAAGTTAGTAAAGACTGATGTACGCAAGAAAATGGGTGATCAATTTTTAAGTGATAGTTTGGTTTCATATATTGAAAAAAATGTTTTAGGAAGTATTAGTAATGACAAGATTGTGAAATTGTATCAAGCTATAAGACCTCGTCGAGTACAATTGTAAGAACTTTAAATATTTTTTTCTATTACTTATATAACTCAACCCGATCTGAACCCACAATAGATTTTTTTTGTATATTTTTTTGTATATTTAATTTAAATAGTGAACCATGTGGTTTTAGGTTCTAGACTCGCCACTAACGGGAATACACCTAATATATATATATATATATATATATATATATATATATATATATATATATATATATTGTTGTGAATAATTGGTGGCGTTGTAAGTAATTGGTGGATAACATAATAATTGGTGCATGGTAAATTTGTTAATGTTTTTAACTAGTTACAATTATATGTTAGTAAAATTTGTAGTATAAATACCCCTCCATTGTAAAGAATGAGACACTCCAAAAGTTATAAGAGATATAACTCTCATATTCTCTCTAAATATTCTTTCTTGTCAATTTAAGTTATTATCAAAGTTTAGTAGTTTGTTTTGGTTTATAGTTACATTTATTACGCTTAATTCATAACACGTTATCAGCACGAAAGCTCCAATCAAGGTTATTAAACAAGTGGAAATCACATGTCTTAATCAAGGTATGTATTACTTAGTAAAAACATTATTAATTATAAAACATCCATCATATTAAAATAATGATGATACTAATGAATTAATAAAACTTATACATTATGGACTACTAACAATTTTTATTTCTTATACTAACCTTTCTTTATGTATTCAAATTTTTATACATACTAACATTTACATTATGCAACTAGCTTTTATTTATGCATACTAACATTTATATTATGCAACTAACTTTTATTTATGCATACTAACATTTAAATTATATTTATTTATACATGTCAATGTTTATTTTTATTTTAGATACTCTTCATAATTTTATTTTAATATTTACTAATATTTATTAATATATCTAATTAGTAAAATTACACAAAGTAAAGTTATGTATTACTTTTAAATCTTATTAAATGATTTATAAAATACATATACATATATACACAACGGAAATGTATAGGTAACGGTTATAAACATAAAAAACAACGGTTATATTTTTTTTACCAGAAATAAACATCTTTACACTGCTTATTTTACCCACAACAAATATTTCTCTCTTCTATCAAACAAATTAATTTCAAGAAATCAGTATTCAAGATGATTCATCCTTTTGTGATTATCATGACTATAATAGTCATGTTACTTTTCATCCCAATCCTCAACATCGAAGATAATATGGAATTTCATCTACTTTTAGGTTTGTATGCAATGTTAGCTTTACCGCTTCTTTTTTGTGTAATATTTATTGAAATAAATTGATTTTAATTTTAATTTTAATTTTTTTTAAAATTTATAGTTACATTATGTCCAACATTGCAAAGCTCGAGTTTACAGCACTTGAAGTTAGTAGGAGAAACTATGTGCCATGGATGATAGATGTAAAAATGCATCTTGAGTCCATGGGAATCTCAAATGCTATATATGAATTTAATAATAGTTTGGCACAAGACAAAGCAAAAGCACAAGTTTTCTTTCGTAAGCATATTGATGAAATGTTGAGATTTGAATATCTTGATGTTACTGATCCAAGTATTCTCTGGAATCTTTCGAAAGAAAGATTTGATCATCAAAAGGAAGTTATACTTCCAAATGCTAGAGATGAATGGAGAACACTGAGGTTTCAAGACTTCAAAAAGGTAAATGAATACGACTCAGCTTTGTTCAGAATATGTTCACAACTCAAATATTATGGACGAGAAGTTACCGATGAAGATATGTTGGAGAAAACTTACTCCACATTTCATGCAACAAAGATTTCCTTGATGCAACAATATCGGATGCAAAAGTTCACAATATATTTTGAACTGAATACATTTTTGCTTGCTGCAGAGCAAAACAATGAAATTTTGATGAAAAATCACGAATCTCGTCCAACGGGATCAGTAGCACTTCCTGAAGCAAATACTACAAATATTGATGGTCATCGAAACAATACACGTGGACGAGGGCGTGGTCGTGGTCGAGGACGAGGTCGTGGCTATTTTAATCGAAACCAAAGCCATAATCAGAACCATAATTCTGGTCGTGGACAAGGTAATAATCGTGGTCGTGGCCAGAAAAAGAATATTTACCAACATTCACAAAGAAACAATTTCCACACACAAGATAAGGCAAAAGTAGCAAGGCATGACACTGGGACATCACAAAAATCTGATGGTCCATGTTATAGATGTGGTAGCACGGGCCATTGGTCAAGGACCTATTGCACACCTGCACATCTTTGTCAACTTTATCAAGAGTCCATTAAAGGAAAAGGAAAAGAAGCAAACCTCTTTGATAATGTTGAATTCACTCTGCTAAATGTTGTTGATTTGAGCAATGACATGGAAGACATAAACCAAAAAAAAATCTATTATTGTTCTAGTAAAACTGTTTTTCCTTCATTTGTTTTTCATGTAATGCCTTTCCTTCAATAAATGAACCTTCTTTTGAATAATTATTATGGTTATGTTTATTCACTTATTATTCTTTACATGTGTGAAGTTTAATATGAGTCCAATTGGAGCGCAACACCAAGAAAAGATTGGAGATCTTTGTATATCATATAATGGTAGTACACATACTATTCTGAAATCAAAGAAATATTTTTCAAACCTAATACCAAAAAAAACAATCATACATACAATATCAGGTCCTGCAGACTTGATAGAGGGAACCGGGAAAGCCCATTTTATATTACCAAATGGTACAAGATTTTGTATAGAAAATGCCTTATTTTCTCCAAAGTCTAATATAAACTTATTAAATTTCAATGACATATATTTCAAAGGATATCACACAAAGACTGTGACCATTGAAAATAAGAAATATATGTATATTATAGACAAAAATCATGTGCTTGAAAAACTACCAACACTTGATTCCGGTCTGCATTATACATATATACATATGATTGAATCAAATATTGTAATCGAAGGAAAACATTGTGATCCTGGGACATTCAGTTTATGGCATGATAGGTTGGGCCACCCAGGATTAACAATGATGCGAAGAATAACTGAGAATACACATGGGCATCCATTGAAGGACCAAAAGTTCCCTCAATCCAATAACATAAAACCATGTACATCTTGTTCCCTTGGAAAGTTAATTATAAAACACTCTCCAATGAAAGTTGAAAGAGAATCACCTAGATTTCTAGAAAGAATTCAAGGTGATATATGTGGACCGATTCACCCTCCATCTGGACCATTTAGATACTTTATGGTCTTAATAGATGCATCCAGCAAATGGTCTCATGTTTGCCTATTATCAACTCGTAATATGGCATTTGCAAAGTTTCTTGCCCAAATTATTAAATTAAGGTCACATTTCCCTGATTATACTATCAAAAGAGTGACGCTTGATAATGCTGGTGAATTTACTTCACAAGCATTTAATGACTATTTTATGTCTGTCGGAATTGTTGTTGAGCATCCAGTTGCTCATGTACACACACAAAATGGTTTAGTTGAATCACTAATTAAACGTCTCCAGCTAATAGCTAGACCATTGGTTTAGTTGAATCACTAATTAAACGTCTCCAGCTAATAGCTGGATCATTGATATGCATGAGACCAAGTTCATATCATGTATATTCTCCACTAGAACTTGTTTTCAGTCAAGAACCAAATATATCTCATTTGAGAATTTTTGGGTGTGCAATATATGTCCCTATTGCACCACCTCAACGGGCAAAAGTGGGTCCTCAAAGAAGGTTGGGAGTATATGTTGGTTATGAGTTAGTCTTTATTATAAGATATCTTGAACCATTAACATGTAATGTTTTCACAGCACGCCTAGCAGATTGTCAATTTGATGAGGCAAATTTCCCATCATTAGGTGGAGAAAAGAAGATTTTGGAAAAGGATGTGTCATGGCATGAGCCTTCTTTATCATATATTGACCCTCGCACAAGGCAATGTGACATGGAAGTTCAAAACATAATGCATTTCCAAGAAATGCCAAATCAATTACCTGATGCATTTACTGGCACAAAAAGGGTGACTAAATCATATATACCAACTGTCAATGTTCCAACTCGAATTGACATTCCACATGGACAATCTGATGAGAAAGTCACTCAAGAGTCTAAAACACGCCTGAAGCGTGGAAGGCCATTTGGTTCTAAGGATAAGAACCCACGAAAAAGAAGAGGAGCAGAAAATGCACTAGATCATGAGGAAAGTGTTCTTGGAGAAACACGAATTATTCAAATTCCCCTGGGAAAAGAGGATGATGCACAAAATTATGGTCAGCCAAATAGAATATGTGACCAAAATGAAACTGACAG